AGGGGGGACCCCTGTAATACTTTCAACAATAAAGATAAATTTTTAAAATATTCTACATGTCTTACCTAGCATCTCACAACAATCTTCTGAGATAGACAATAACATCATCATATATTATATAACATATATCTATATCACACATATCAATAGTATATAGATATCATATATATCAGAAGTATATTGTGAGGGGAGACTTTCTTCCTTTCTTCTTGTTATACTAAAAGTAGTGTTTTTCCTTCTAAGGCTAGTCCCTCCACATGTGATCTGGATGCCATCTATTCCTTACTATATTGATTACACTTCACTGTCCTGAATCTGTGTTTTCTCCCCTTCTATTCAGTTTGCCCACCAGCCTTTTCAAGTCTTTCCAAGTTTAACAGAAGTTCTCCATCCCCTTACTTTCCTCCTCCAATTAATATCTCCCCCTCTCTCCTAGACCATCTCCATCTCCTGTCTCCAAAATGTTCACCCTCACTTCTTTATCTCAGGTTCTCCCACTCTCTGACTACTCCAATATTGTTTCCTCCTCCAGAACTCTACCAAACAGCTCTTTTCAGCACCACTAATGATCTCTGCATTCCTAAATTTGGTGAGGATTTAGTTTTCACCTTACTTGATATCTCAGCATCAAGTGAATACAATTAACCACAGCCTCCTTGTTGAAACCCTATTCTGTAGGCTGTCCCTCTCTGGTCACACTATCTCCTTTTCAGCTTCAGTGTCTGTTGCTGGGCCATTAAATTTGGGCCTTTGTTACATCTCATCCTAACCCTGCTTTTCTTCTCAGTCTGTAGTCACTTTGCAGTCATTCACCTACCGGTCTTTTCCAAAGTTGCTATCACCACCTAGACCAAGGCATCAGCTAAAAATGTGCCTCCACCTGGAGCTTCTGCTCAATCACCTGCTCAGCTCAGTATCTCCTCTTTGATATCATGAACTGTCATGTTCTCCCCACCTGACCTACCTAACTTCAACCCTTCCTGATCTTTCCTCAGTGTTCCTCATCTCAGTAGATAGTACCACCCTCTCCCTGTCTGCTTATCTTAGAAACCTGGGAGTGGATGGAGTAGGGCTGCATCAATACCTTCCCGAGTGCTTGGCACCAAAATGTGCTTAATTATATTTTGAAATTAAAAAATAAACCACACAAATGAAAGCATATCATAACTAAAGTAAGTCTTTAAAAATTCTGATTTTCCCATAGTGACTACAATGATGCTTTTAAAAAGAATATCCAATTCTTTGCAAAATAATTTAGGGCCACTTCTTTGCTGTTGCTCTAAGAGCTATTTGGTAGTCCTGTCCTGTCTAGGAGTCAATAGTAAGACACCATTTCCTGTTGAATCTACATCTTTAAATATTTCCAAATCTGACTGCTACTCTCTAGTGCCAATTCCCCTGTATTCCAAGCCAGTGTGACTGCTTCTCTGAATTTCTGCAATAGCCTCTGAACCCTCCTCCCTGCTCCAATTTATTCACTACAAAGCAGCCAGGCAGAATGATTCCAGGAATACACATAACTGATTCTATCAAACCACTGCTTGAAAGCCCTCAATGGCTTCCTTTTTTCTCCACAAAGCAGTCAAGCAGAATGATTCCAGGAATACAGATAAATGATCCTATCAAACCACTGCTTGAAAGCCCTCAACGGTTTCCCATTGTCCTTAGGATAAAAATCTCAGATTAAGAGGCCCAAGACCCTGCCACCTTGCCGTGAGCCAGTGTCACCTATTTCAGATCCTGGAAAGAGCCAAGCTCCTTATGAGCCTTTGCATGACGTTTAGGTTTACTGGTTTATTCTCTGCCCAGAGCTGTCTCACACTTCCCAGCTTTTTCTTCTTCAGTTCTTACACTTAAAGTCCTTCCTTCAGATAAGCTTTTCTTAACCTCTCACACTAAGTCAATGCTCCTTGTTAAACACTTTCATAGTAATTCCCAGTTTGCTTTGGTAAGTAAGTGGTTATTTGTACATTGAATAGTTTTTAATCTCCCCTCCCAATTTTCATGTAAACAGCCTTTAAAAATTCAGTAACACATTTCTGTACCCACAGGAATTCAACGATCCTTGAATCCAACTTTGTCTAATTCTAGAGCCCATGCCCAAAACTACCACAAATACATAAATCTACCCATCCTGGAAGATGGCTTTTATTCTGTTTTATGATGGCCAAGTTTTAATGCACAAGAAACTAAGGTTTGACTGAAGAAAAATATAACATCTCTGGACAAATTCTAGAGCAATGATGTTCTGCAGTTGGTGAAATTTCTTTGAACCTATTCCTGCCACAAATTGTACACTTCAGCCTTCTCCTGTTGGAGGACACAGTGGGGCCATTCAACATACAGGCTGGACTGGCTAAACTGAACCCCAGCTCTCCCTCATATGATCTTCATATCTGTAAACAGGAGTATCATTAACTGCGATACAGGGCTGAGGTAGGGCTGACTTATTCAAGAAAGATTTAATTAGCATCTAGTATATGTCAGGTTTGGGGACAAATGCGATTCAGGATGTTTAGCCTATTTCATTTAGTTAGAAATGGTCACCATTACCGGTATTACTACAGTTGTGCGCCCACGTTTGCTTGTGCCACAGAGCTTGAGTGACAGCACGTGATATTTGTGACCTCTGTCACTATCCCGGCATGATCCCTGTGAGTCCAGGACCTCAACCGGAGTTGAGCATGGTGAGCACTCCCAGGCATCACTGCGCAGCGTGGTCGCCCCTCCCCTCAGGGCCACCAGAGGG